CCCATATCAAACGATCACCTGCACAACACTCAAGACGACAAAAACGAAGAAACCAAAGAAAATAACTGAAAAAACACAAAAGACTATAAAAAGATGAAAACACACGACGAGAGATAAAACGGACCAAAACCAAAAGAAAAAAATCACATGGGAGGGAAAAAGAAAGGAAAAATAATCACGAAAAACGCAATAAAATGAGACAAACATATATATAAAATAAATAAATTATATTATCTTTATAATAATAGATAAATATCTATTAAAATTAATTAAAAAATAAATTATTTCTCAATTAATATATTCATGTTTAATGTAGTATATGTTATAAGTTAGAAAAATTATTATAATATAATACATGTAAGTAGCACAAGTAACAAATATATATATATATATATATATATATATATATATATACTAGTCGTCTGGTGGCTGTGCACGCACAGCCGACCCTAGTTCAATCAATAATTATCTCTAATATTTTGGAAAAATGAAAAATCACATCTACATTTTATAACATTTATAAAGTTAGGTTCAAATAACTTTAACATGAATTCATAACAAACTCAATAATACAATAGAACTGGCTCCGAACCAATCTTCTATATACAACAAGTAAACCATACTATATTAATAAAATTATTAGTGCTATTTAAGTAATCGAAGAATATGATATAATTTACATGTTGTATAGATGGCTCCACTATGGAGCCAACGGTTGACTTCATAGCAAAACCGTATAATAAGATATCTACCAATTAACAAGTGTAGATAGTGTTGTTTTATATCAAGTAATATTTTTTTCCCAATTATTTTTTGTATCCTAGTTAACCAACTAAGAATAGGCATTACCACACTTCACCACAACCTAAATATGTCAAATAGCTTACTCAAGTGGCAACTAATAAAACATAGAAAATGAGTGTTTTCTCCAAGATTCAAGTAGTATCACAAATTAACAGAAGAAGGTGAGCAATCACATTTTAAGCAAATTTAACATAAAATAAGTTCAATTCAATATGTGTGCACCGACTATTAACTAAGCAACCCAGTAAAAGAATCAGAACATCTAAGGACTATATATTGCAATACATAAGTAGATAATGCTTTCTGCATAGCAAACATGTACCATCAACTCATCTTTAATCTCTATAATTCACAGAAAACGATCATGACACTTAATTACTCATAATGCTGTCAAATAATACTAACATATGAATATTCCAATTTTGAAACCAAATACACTTACAAATACAAACACCAGAACCAATCACCTAATGATACTGAAGTTACTATAATGCATGATAAAGTACATTGCTCTACCATTAACGTTCACCGCAAGCACGTGTTCAAAATAAAACTGGGAAAAAACATGAATAAAAATATTTATGAGATAAAGCATACCAAACAATTCAAATAATATTCCAAAGTGCATCCAGCCATAACAGTAAACAAGGTCAACAAAACTTGAAATCACAACCCATTTACTACAAGATAAATCAAACAGAAGGCCGCGGATCCATAAAAAGCACCGCTGAATCTACTTATAACACCTGTGGGAGATACGGTAGTGATTGTCAGCTTATGGTCGCTCTGAAAATCCCTGTTCAAGAGATCTAAAATAAAAAGGAAAAACTCAGAAACCAAACATAAAAAGTAAAAAACAAAACGAACAACTAAAATTGAATGCTTGAATTAAGCAAAATCGAAGCAAAACCTCGACTTTCTCTTTCTACTGTTAATTCTTCGTTGACATTTCGTCTCAATTTGCTAACTCCCGAAACTGATATAGCAAAAAAAATCCAGAGAAAATCAGGACCAGAAACGTGCATAAGACAACGAAAAATTTACATAATGAACCAATCATAACCTTGTCTTAACTGACCCATTAGAGAGGTAAAATGTCGATTCCACTCCTAATTTTTCTTTCTTTACTTTTTTACCAAATGTTAGAATCTCAACATCCGTTAGGATGGTAGAACGTGACGCAGCGATACAGGGACAGGGTAAGCGCATGAATAGTTATTGAAAGCGAGTCCTCCAGCTTACGGATGAAGTTCCCTTTCAAAGAGCTTGCATTCTCTTCTGTGTTTTCCTTCTGAGCCTTGGGACCTACGAAACCTTCTTCATGAGGTACTACCTTTGCAACTGCCGAGCAGCAACCTTCTCCTCCGGCAACTTGCCACGCCTTTCCAAGAGATGCAGCCACCGTTGTGGCCCCTTCTGCCGCCGCTGGCCGGAAAGAACTCCTTCGCTATGAAACTGCCGCTTGATTTCTAACTCGTCTTAGCTCCTCCAGTCTTACATACATAGAAACCACACACAAATTCAACGAACAAATCGTATTTTGCCAATCATAATAATGACCACAAAGAGAAAGAATTACTCCACCGAAGGAAATTAAGACTTGTGAAAGGACGTAATTATGCAACCAGATATATTTCTATTCTGATTTTCCAACTTAAACCACATATGTTCTTTTTCAGCATAAAAGGACACATTAAAAGCTGACCAAAAAAAGTGAAGTAACAATTATCAAGCCAATCAAGATTGAAATATAAATAGATCCTCCTCTTCTCCTCAACCCAAAAGTCATATCCATACCTAAAAGAATAAAAGAACAGAAAGCCAACCTTTTGTCACCGGCATCGTAATAATAATGATGAGCGATATGAAAAACGTGATGTTCTTCTGGTAGAACACCTTGACTGCCGTCACGAAGTGGATGGCAGACATGGTCCGCCTGCCCGAGTGAGCAGATATCGTGACCAAGACGTGCTCCTTGATGTTGAATGGCCCCATGATGATGAACTCCCATTTTGTCCCCTTAAAGAAAATGCGGGCAGTGATCTTGGCTGCTATGAGCTGGGCTAGAGGACCACAGCTATGTGGGCCGAGATGGAGGTTATGGAGACGGGCTTCATCCATAACCAGAAGAGAACTGATTGAGGAAGCATGAGGGTGCAGGACAGAGTGCCGAGGAACCACATTCGGAACATGAGGACTGGGAGAGAGGGATCGTTCGTAGTCGATACCATGATGACAACCTCTCTGATCGGCGAGTTCTCTTCGGGCTTCGGCCGCTGGTTGCCCTTGTACAACCACGTCACCAATCGACACCATCCTTATCATCTCTCCTTCTTTTATGGGTGTCTGATACGGTTATCTGCATATTTCCAAGTTAAACAAGAACCGGTTAAAAAACTCAAAGAATTTCGATTCTTTGAATGTTAGACGAAGGAGCAGAAGAGAAGGTTAACAGTCATCATCTGCATTGCTTTAAGGACTTTGATGTCTGTTCTGACGGTGATAAGTTTGTTCTGCAACCACCTTAAAATTATTACAGTTCAGTAACTTATAAGATAAGTACAAATGCACGGGGCAATATACCATTTGTTGTCATTGAAATTAACTTTTTTGTTAAAGAATCATTGAAGATTTTGGACCACCGCTGGGAAACAAACTATCCTGAAGATTTTGTACGAAGAATGTTTTATTAAACGTACCAAATTGCAAAAAACTCCAGCAATCTTTCAAGGAAAGATATTCTTGAAGATGCTCGTTATTTAATAAAATAGTCCAATTGGTATACGGCAACCAAATGTTAGATGCGTTTGTAACTGGAAAATCACTACTCATTTTTTTTATCATTGTAAACAATTAGTTTGGACACAGCGATTCAGTTTCTGTAATTAGCCGAACAAATTTATCCAAATGAAACTTTATCTGTGAAAAGATTTATATCTCTTCAGTCATTATGTCTCCAACCTTCGTTAACTTGGATGACCTTCCCTGGACAATTATTTTTCGGAGGTAATCTGCAAATTCCGTATAACAAATTACCGCCCACCGTAGAATGTCAGTAATTTAATTCATTGATTGAAGCCTGCTATCCTATGAACGTGTTGCTAGTATTATTGGTTAATCAAATTATATTCTACATTTGCATCTTTTGTGTGCGACAAAAAACCAGTTACAATCTGGAAAAATCTTCGGTTGCTCATGTATTTTAACAAAAACTCGGGACAAAAGGTTTTTATTTAACCCCAAATGGTAATGTAAATTTTTGCAGTCCTCGTAGTCCGTTATAAGCTATATAAGAAACTGAAGGCACCGAAACTTAACAGATTAAGATGATAAAATCCAAAATGCAAGGACCTTAGGAGCAGCTATTAAGAACAAACTGATGTACCTCTTTCAGTAATAATTCTTGGAATCGACTTCTTCTCCTATGGTTTAACCACCACCAGAGCTCCAACATTGTGCTGAGTCACCTGTATTTGAAGAAAAAAAAAAAAGAAAAACAAAAGAATATAACGTTTGAGCTCATTTTCATCTTTCGCCTAAAAAATTACGAAAGCAAACATGAAGATTTACGGTGGGGCATATAGGGGAGTGCATGCAAACAAACAACACCTGGATAATTACAAATACCACCAAAAGAGCTTAAGTTTATCTATAACTGATTCCAGCTTATATAAAACTACAAACGCCCTTTAGCATCCTCTGCATACGTTATGGAAAACTCACCTTGGGGCTACAATTTTTAATAGACAAATAAAAGTCAACTCGTATTTTTACCTAGTTCAAGATCTCAAAAGTTAATTGAAATACAAAGATGTGTATTACAGATTCCACGGCGTCATACACACTGTCATCAGTCGTGCACCAGAGCCAGGACCCATCCGCACCCTTCCCTTTGGCTTTCAGAACATCAGAATGGTGCTCTCAAAACTGTGCTCTTCGATAGGGGCCAAAGATGTTGATTCTTGGTGTGTAAATATCGGGGTCCTCGTGGATGGTGGAGGCACCCGAACATGGAGAAGAATCACATTCTCCAGAACACTACCATTCAATAAGATCGATTTGATTCCTCCTTGTGTGCCTTATCTAGCCAAAAATAAATAAATAAATAAATAAAATTACAAGATATTATTGTAAGTCGATAAAAGTATCAAAAGTTAGATTTAGCTATAGCAAATTTCTGCTATTGATAATCCTACTTGTGATTCATCATCGTCTGCTCGTTGGTATTGAATTCCACCCACTCGCACCCCTGTTCGCTGGCCCGCTCCACCCACGCGGGCGCGAAGTTCTGCGGCACCACCACTGCCTGACCACCACGGACCTCGCTGTCCAACGCCACCCAACTCCGGTGGTTCACGATCTGCATCCGGGATGCACCACGAATGACGTACGGGAAGCTGTGCGCTTTCACAAACCAGTGCGGCTCCATTCCCGCTTTCTGCCAAAAAAAATGAAAGTTCGAGACAACCAAAAAGAATAAATGAGAGTTAACAAATTCAAGGAAAATATGAAGGAATATAAAAGGAATTTAATAACTAAAAAGGTTTGAAAATTATAATTTACAATGGAAAGATGACCGTATGTCTTTTTGTTTTTCTTCTATTTCTTTTGAAAAGTGATTGGTAAGTGGAATTGCTAACCTTGTAAATCAAATTGAGTACCCACATGGACAAAGACGACAACCTAACCTCCTGAAGGATCTGCACAACATAGCAAAATCTGGAAAAAAATAAATAAATAAATAAATAAATAAATAAATAAAATAAAAAGAAAATCAATATTCAAGATAAAAGAGAAAAAACATTCATTATCAGTAATAATAAAAATGAACTAAAGTTTACATAATCGACCAAAAAATGCATTCAAACACATACACCAATTATCATTAGGAAGCAGTGACAAAAAATCAAGACTTTGTTCGAAACATAATGAAATGAGCATGCCTCCCGACAGAGGTCATGTTGGTACAGGGTAAAAATTGGCAATCGTTTTTGGGTTCAACCTTCTCCACATGGCCCCTCGTCCGCCCGCCAGATCTACGTCGTCTGCGGGGCCTGAATCTGCCGGAATACTTGCTCTCTTCAAGCCAATGGCGCTTATTCTTCACAATCAGACACGCAAAACCTCAGTTTTGACTAAAAAATCCTTTCACGGTTTTACCTGTTTGTCTGAGTAATATAATAATATATTTTATTTTGATAATTCTAATATCTTTTTTTTCCCGATTAACAGAACAAAATCATGGTACCAACCTAACTTTGATGAGCACCCACAGATTGTATATGCTTGCTAACAGCTGGAGTACTAAGGTCTCATATATGCAAATATTGAGCATCTCTAACACAACCAAATAAGCACGCATGCCTGAGATGCTATGCCACAACTTCAACGGCACCTTCATGGCTTCATGAATCTGCTCGCACAACACATAAGAGCCTTTGCTAAACCTACAACTATCATTAGGTTTAATAAGCTTTTAGATCAATATAACATATTAAAGTGCACAACACTAAGCAAAACTACAGTTTCATTTACGATACATAGCTCAGAATGAAATTCTTAATTTCAAACTCCAACATCAACCAGATTTCTAAGAAAATATTCGTACTATTTGTTGTCCGCTCATCTCTTGCTGAACTCATCAACGATCTGCATACATGTACACTATCAAATTCAAAACCCTAAAGAAATTAAATTTAAATAAAAATCAAAATAGGGCAAAGACATAAGAAGTCTTGCCTTCAAAGACGAACACCATTACCTTAAAAAACGAACACCACACCAATAGCACAAAAAAAAAA